TTTATTTTTTTTTTTTTTTTTATTTTTTATTTTATTTTTTGGTTTATTTTTTATTTTATTTTTATTTTATTTTTTATTTTATTTTATTTTTTATTTATTGTTTAGAGCAAATCAATAAACTTATACTTTTATATTTTTTGATGATTGAAATTATATTTTTGATATTTTCATAATAGTAATATCAAAAATATAGTTTTGGTATTTCTAGATATAATGTTTCTAAACATTTGATTTATAATACAGTAATATATATAACAAAATTTTTTAAAGATTAAAAATATTAAATTGAGCTCCAGACTTATACCGGTTTCCGGTTCCTAGTATAATATTAGAAACTAATTACAGTATATGATACTACGCCGGTGTACTTGTTAATCATATGTAATTCAGTAGCAAAACTCTAATAAAATACTGCAACAAGGCGTTCGAAAAAATTTATCTATACTTGCTAGTATAAACACCAATGTTTATTATATATATTTTTTAAGCTTATATGCAGGCAAAACAAAGGCCATAGGAAGTCAAAAATATTATATAATTTTATTATATTCTTTCAGATAACTGTTTTTATATGTTTTTTTTTAAAAAATAAGATCTTTCAAACTTCAATATATTATATCTGTTATTCCCTTATCTAATAAGAATCACATATTCCATTCCATTTTTGAAGAATTGTTACATTTTATAGTTTAGGACCTGTCCTATGTGATTTCGCTTCCCACAACGCTCTCATTTTATTAACTATTTTATCGTCAACAAATAAATCAATAGTCATGTCTTTGGCACCTGGTCTAGTAGAATAATGGTCAAATTCGGTTTGACCATGTTCGCGCAAAATTACTTCATCAATTACGAAATTGCCGCTTTTTAATTACGTAGGAAAAAAAATTTACATTAGACTTTCCCTTAAAGGGTGTATAGTGTTTGGTCAATGATCTAAGTCGTAGCATCTTTTTGATATGACTTTTGTCATGTAATATGACACTTTTAGCTATAGATCATATTGGTCGTATTAAATACAATTAAGTCATATCGATATTCATTATAACTGAATGAATATAGGTCAGTTTAAGATCATTGGCCAACACTGTGTATATTCATATACATACCTGAATTCTTTTGAATTTTTGGTAAGAATTCTATGTGCAGCATCAGCCATTATTTCTGGGGTTCTTGAATTACCTCCAAAAGCTGAATCTATTTGTTTAGTTGAATCTATCGGTTTAATAATGAGCGTACATCGTTACACATAATACGATAATTTAGTTGAATTTTCACCTAAAACTTGAAGAGCAGCCGTCTCTATTACTGTTATCGGCCAAAGTGCTATAGCAAAAAAGCAGTGTGTTAGCTTGATACTTTTTATTCCGTTTGTGAATAATGAACATCTAACATTAATATGTAGGGTGAATACCATTTGCAGCAATTCCCTGATCTCGAAATTCAGCAGCCCAACCCTATTAATATTTTGTTATCATGTAAGGGAGAAAGCTTAACAACGATCATTAAGGATATAAATAATATAAATTATATCAGATATTGAAATACCAAAACGCAAAGTGACATGTTATATTTCGCTATTGAATAAGTAACATGGTTTTTAAACCAATCCTCTTTGATCAAAGGCGGTGGACTAAGATTCAAAATGTGTGGGTTTCTATTTTTTCGTCCACTTTCAATAAGATGTGGAATTGCATGCTGCCGTTAAAAGAAGTTCAATGGTTAATATTAAAGTTGTTCAGGTTGGATCAAATAAAATTTTTATAACGGTATCACGTGCTTCTACTATACCTTTGTCACTAACCAGGTTCCACGCATATTAATTTCGGACATAAGATTAAATTTTTTAAGACTGGTATCTTGAGTATCAGTGAGAGATATTGCAGATGCTACGACCGTAAAATAATAACGTGTAAGTTGTCGATAAAATTATTCGAAAAGAATAATAAATAAACCAAAAAATAAAATAAAAAATAAAATAAAAAAATAAAATAAAATTAAAAATAAAAAAATAAAATAAAAATAAAAAAAATAAAATAAAAAATAAAAAAATAATAAATATATTAAAAAATTAAAATAAAAAAAATAAAAAATAATTAATTAATTTTTCACATCTATATAGCACAACTCTCCCCAACGATCAACCAGTTTTTGAAAGCAAGTTGAAGACTCAAGACCAGAAGTGAACAAATAACTTGAAGGTTTCTTAATATGAACTGTTGTCGATGAAGTCTTAAACATGATACACCGAAGAGCAAGTGTTTTAGATAGTTTGCAAAGGGGTCAAGTCTTTTTATGTTTTTTTTTTTCAGATAGATTCTCTTTTGCATTCGGTATCCAAACTGGAGAAGTCTTTGAGAACAGTAAGTAGAAAGAAAACTCAAATTATTTTGGGAACAGAAAGCTATAAAGAACTCTTAAAACAACACTCCTTGGTTGGAAAACTTGCAAAACTATTTTTTTTTTTTGCCATTTTCTTTTTTCATAATTTTTGACAAAAAGTAAAGGATTTGGCTACCCCTTTCAAAAAATCAGCATTGTTTATATTTCTATTTTTGGGGAATTGCTAAAGCCTTATACTTACGTGACTTTTGAAATTTTAATTGTAATTACAGTCGGGCACATTACCAAAAATGGGCAATATAGATTGCCCCTTTTATAGTATAGAAATGTAGATCGGACGATTCGATTACACAAATCAAAAGCTGAGTTATATCTCAGAAGCTGAGTTATATGTTAATAAGCTAATCAAATTGTAAATTTTGAATAGTAAAACATAAACTTTTTTCGGGTCTTATACACTTTTGCTCAAAGTGTAGATCTAGAAAAGATCACTACGGATCATGAAACTATGAACATTTTGCTTTTCGTTTATAAAATTTTTTGTCACAAACATATATGGCAAAAAGCCACAAAATATAATCGAAAAATGTGGCTGTAAGCCAATCAAAATTAAATGGAACAATCTAGAATAGATTTCCATTTTTGGTAATATGCCTAACTGAATTAGAGTTAGAGTTAGTTTTATTGTTAGGGTAAGGGCAAGCATATAGGTTAAATTTCCTTTCTGGCATTTTTTATTAATATATCAAGACAGGTTTAGACTGCCGTTTTTCATATTTTCTCATTTTTTTGATTTTTTAATTTCTTTGAGCTGATCTGTATAAACAAAATCTTATGATTTTGATTGGTGATCTATATAAAAAAAAAGTCACATGAGTACAAGGCTTTAGCAAATCTCTATTTTTGGCAAGTCTTGAGTTATGATATGATGAATAAAGAATACAACAATCACATATAAGGAGGAAGCTCTGTTTAGATGAAATTGAAGTACATAAAAAGTCACATATTTGGATTAAAATTGACTATATAGGAATAAATACCTTATATGATGGATCTGAGGAAGTAGTTTTCAATGATACCAGTTGACTATAGAGAAGATTTCTTGTTTAATTTTATATAGCGAAGAAGCAAGATTCAAAGTGAAAACTATAAAAGGATTTTAAAAAAAATTGGCCTATTATAAATAGAACCAATGATCACATGTCAAGACTTGAAAATTGGTATTCTAGGATTCGAGGTAGATTTTATAAAGTTGTAAACTGGAGTGATATAATAGAGATATACAATATTCTGAAGTTATATGTATATAAGTTTTAGTCCTTAGTACAGGTTAAAGTATATCTTAGTTCATAGTTTCTTTTTTATCAGATAGCTCTATATATAAACTTTTATGATTATGTAGATAGTTTTTTATTTAGTTAGCAAGTTTTTATATCTGTAAACAAGTTCTCTTAGATTTTAGAATAGTTTTTTTAATTCCTTTATATTTTGGTCATTTTCTTATATATTTTCTTTTTTATTTTCTCTATTTTCGTTTTGCCCTTACTCTTTTTTTTTCTTTTTTACTTCTCTACGAGAAAGTGTTATCAGATTGGCAGTACTCTATTGTAGAGCGGTGATTCTGATAAGGTTAGTAAATTCTATTTGTTGATATCTAAAGCTTATATCCTTAGTAAGTTGAGGATCCTGAAAGGAGGTAAATTGTCATTTAGACAAGTTGCTTCTGGGTCATACTCTAGTATAAAATTTTTGGCTTTAGCTATAGTTTTATTGCAATAATAAAACAAATTGAGAGAATCTTTAATTATACAAAAATATAGTAGTTTAGCAATTTGCATGTAAGCCTAACTAGCTAAGGGCATTTTTGTAATCTACTTTCAATAAATAAAATAAAAGTAGGATTGCTGAAGTAAAAAAAAATATATAAAAATAATAAATATAAAAAAATAAATAAAAATAAAAATAAAAAGTTATTGTAATTTATTACTATAACGATATATCACTATTTCTGATTGACCAATTAGAATGCAAGATCAGGTGTAATGTGAAATCGAAACAAAATATTGTCTTTTTTAAAAAATACCTGTAACACAAAAATTTTGTTATAAACCTATTCTTTGTATTCTAACAAAAAAAATTTTTTGTGCAATCTTATTATCAAATCTTCTCTTATTGCCTTCACACTACTTTTACCTTACTCTAACCCTAACTAATAAAAAAATCAGATTATTTTGAGTTGTTTTGATTTCACATTACACAAATTCTATAGGTAGCAATATATTATATATACAAAAAATTATTAAATTCAAAATAAAAATAAAAAATATAAATAAAAAAAGTGTTTATTTATATATACCCTAAGGTACATATACTTGTATCATAAGACCTATATTGATCGTCAAGATCAGGTATAATATTATATGATCAAAACAAATGTTCATTTTGACGAAATCACCAATTTTACAAGAATTGCATACTAAACCACTTTCTGTATATTAATAAAAAGTTTTTCTTAAATGATTTTACTATATAACTGCCTAAACACTAACTCTAATATAGTTCTCATCCTAACTCTAAATTAACATAAACAATATCAATATTACTATAATCTCGTATGATTAAAATAAAAGGTACAAAAAAATTTAATATACCTATAGAGTACATTTACATTAATTCATAAAAAAATAAAAAAAAATACAAAAAAATAAAAAAAAGAAGTAAAAGAAAAGGGTGCTTTTAGGCATCTTCCGCGAGAGATATATCTTCCTGTAAGAGATATATCTCCCAACTATCAAAACCCAGAATTGTCACATGATACACATTCTGAAGTACTACTCGAGCTGGGCATATTTGTATTACCTAAACTATATTTTATTGATCAACCTCAGATGAAAACTGGGTAACTTTTATAAAGTAAAGTTGATATTTATTATAAAAATAAAAAAAATAAAAAAAAAACAAAAAAAAACAAAAAAAAAAATTTTTTTATAACAAAAAAACACCAAGTCCAAAAAAAACTACGCCAAAATAAGTGCCAAAAGTCCACAAGAGAGTTCGTCAACAAATGCTGAAAGTCTACAAGAGAATTCACCAAAAAAAATGCCAAAAGTTTACAGGAGAATTTACCAACAAATGCCAAAAGTTCACAAGAGTTCACCAAAAAATGCCAAAAGTTCACAAGAGAATTCACCAAAAAAAATGCCAAAAGTCCACAGGAGAGTTCACCAAAAAAGCGCCAAAAGTCCACAGGAGAATTCACCAACAAGCGCCAAAAGTCCACAAGAAAATTCACCAAAAAAACACTGAAAGTCCACAGGAGAGTTCACTAAACAATGCCAAAAGTTCACAGGAGAGTTCATCAAAAAAGTGCTGAAAGTCTACAAGAGAATTCACCAAAAAAAACACCGAAAGTCCACAAGAGAATTTATCAAAAAAAATGCTGAAAGTCCACCAAAAAAACCGCCAAAAATCCACAGGAGAATTCACCAATAAATGCCAAAAGTCTACAAGAGAATTCACCAAAAAAACGCCGAAAGTCCACAGAAGAGTTCACCAAAAAAATGCCAAAAGTCCACAGGAGAGTTCACCAAAAAAGCACCAAAAGTCCACAGGAGAATTCACCAAAAAAAAAGCTGAAAGTCCACAAGAGAATTCACCAAAAAAAATGCTGAAAGTCTACAGGAGAGTTCACCAAAAAAAATGCCAAAAGTCCACAGGAGAGTTTATCAAACAATGCCGAAAGTCTACAGTGGAGTTTACCAAAAAAGCGCCAAAAGTTTACAGGAAAATTTACCAAAAAAAATGCCAAAAGTCCACAAGAGAATTCACCAAAAAAAAATAATGAAAGTCCACAAAAGAATTCACCAAAAAAAATACTGAAAGTCTACAGGATAGTTTACCAAAAAAAATGCTGAAAGTTCACAAGAGAATTTACAAAACAATGCCAAAAGTTCACAGAAGAGTTCACCAAAAAAGCACCGAAAGTTCACAGGAGAATTTACCAAAAAAAAATGCTGAAAGTCCATAGGAGAGTTTACCAAAAAAGCGCTGAAAGTCCACAGGAGAATTCACCAACAAACGTGAAAGTCCACAAGAGAGTTCACCAAAAAAAATGCTGAAAGTCCACAAGAGAATTCACCAAACAACGCCAAAAGTTCACAGGAGAGTTTACCAAAAAAGTGCTAAAAGTCCACAGGAGAATTCACCAAAAAAAAATGCTAAAAGTCTACAAGAGAATTCACCAAAAAAAATACCAAAAATCCACAAAAGAGTTTACTAAAAAAAGTACTGAAAGTCTACAGGAGAATTCACCAACAAATACCAAAAGTCCACAGGAGAATTTACCAACAAATGCCAAAAGTTCACAAGAGAATTCACCAAAAAAATGCCAAAAGTCCACAAGAGAGTTCACCAAAAAAGCGCTGAAAGTTTACAGGAGAATTTACCAAAAAAAATGCCGAAAGTCCACAAGAGAATTCACCAAAAAAAAT